TTCTCATTGGTTTCTATTGTCTTGTTCTTAGTATACACGACTCCTTTCTACCACCTCACTCTCTTTTACACCGACGAATAACTAGCGTCCGAAATGCCAGTAAGTTTTTTCATCTTTTCACGGTGTAAAATTTGCTCTTTTATCATTAAACCTATATGTAGTTACCTATTGTGACCAATATGTCTCTTTTGAGTGTATACATACAGAACACTATAATTGATCGCTTGACCAAAACGACTTGAGACCATTAAAACCAGAGATTCCGGCTTTTCATTGTGCGCTTTATCAAAGCTTGGAATGAAAAATAGGCTCCATTTTTGTACGCCGGGCCTTCCAGTCATCATTAGTGACACTAATGACTTCAGCAAACTGTATGCTCTGAGTGACATTCTATTTATATGACTCTACAGAATTGAACGCCCTTAATTAATCCTAGCATGTTGACTGTTGGCTGAGCTGGACAGCCTGTATCATGAAGATTGCTTATAAATAAATAAATAAATACAAATAATAAATAAATAAAAGCAAACAAACTGCATTGTGAACACCCCATTACCATGTTAAAATTTAAGGCAAAAGTAAAGAAAAGTTGATGCTTTCGCCACCACCTCGCTGCCTTTTTATGACGGTGCAGAGCAATAGTCATTCAAATTGGTCGCCATGTTTTGATTCGGTATATAGGGAAGTAGACGTGAGTTGATCCTGAGAGAAAGAAGAGAGTGGGGGAGTGAGGGGAAGTGAATGAGATGAGACCCTTTTCCAAAAGGGCGGCCTCAAATTCAAATGTTCGTATAACAGAGGTGTTCGTATAACAGAGGTTCGTACAGAGGTGTGTTTTGGACACCCAATAAGGCAAAAGTGAAAAAWTTTTTTTTACATGGAAATTTTATGACTTCATTTTGTTCAAAATGCGGTCCTCTTGAATTAGATCGTTATTTCTGTGGCCATTAACGAGACTACTGACTAATTTCGGTTATAATTGTCTAGCGGTTATTGAGGTTTTTTCTCTTTTTTACACATCAATAGTATCACATTTACACCAAATAGGTCTGGAAGAATCTGGAAACAATGCATGGTAAATAGATTTTCTTTGGTTGCTTTTGTTTAAAATGAGAAATAATCTTTCTTTTGTCTTCTCTTGTCTCGTCTTCTCTTCTCTTCTCTTCTCTTCTCTTCTCTTCTCTTCTCTCATCTCTTCTCTTCTATTTCCTCCTCTTTTCAGTCACCATCAAAATAATCACACTATCCTTCTCCTTGGCTAGACCTTCATTCTCATAATTCATTACCTCCTACCCTGTTCCTGTCATGCTTTACCCAACGTTATCGTCTTGGCAACAATCTTTACCTTTACCACTTTCTTCATCATCGCACTACCGATCGTATTTCCAACTCTCCAACTCTACTAAACAAAGTTCTCTCTAAGGGTTAAAAAACGTTTTACACGCTACAACGACTCCATGTTACCAGCAAAAAAATCTTTCTTTTTCTATTTTCTATTTTTACTTTTGATTATTAATGACAGTCTAGAAAGAAAAACCTAAAATGTCAACACTCTCATATATACCCCCCGAGGCAGATCTCTATTCACTATCACACAAAATATGGTTTATAATTTCCAAGTCATTTATCATTTGCTCCAATAAAAAAGTGTTTAACAAAACTAATCATCCCATTGTCTTGTTATTCTAATAAATCAAATAGACGTGCTTTCATTCCTTGTATAATAAAAGATGTCCTTAGGCCAAAATAGAAGACATATGGTTTCCTAGTGTTCGTTCTGGTAAGTCCTCGGTAGAAGAAAACCTTTTTGAACGAAATTTCTTCCATTTTAGTAATTTTTAAAAATTAAATACAGCTTTTCTTATTGCTATGCAGATAACATCTTTTTCTTCTCCTTCTCCTTCTCCTTCTCCTTCTCCTTCTCCTTCTCCTTCTCCTTCTCCTTCTCCTTCTCCTTCTCCTTCTCCTTCTCCTTCTAATTGTTGTTGTTCTTCTTCTCGTTATCCTTCTTCTTCTTCTTCTTTTTCTTCTTCTAGTTGTTGTTGTTATTCTTTTGATCCTCTTCCTCTCTCTACTTCGTTGCAATTTTTTTTCTCGACACTTTCGCTTGCAGCACGAGACAGTCTATTTCTTTACTGAAGTCTGTCTATAAATATGTAAATAATGACTCAGAAACAGAAAAGTTTCGCTCGTTGCTGAGCGTTCTGACATCCAAGAATGCAATCATTAATCTACAATCTCTTTTTGTTTGTTTAAACATCTTTAAGCTTAGGGACCAAAAAAATAGTGATGAATGAGTAAATGAGCGAGCGAGCCGCTAGAGCACAATTTTGTCATCTTAGTTACATGCTAAAAAAAACCCCTTGCTCAATCATTCATAAAGAATTATAAACAGCAACATGAATATGTTTCCAAAAGATTCAATGTCTAATTTTTAGCCAATAAAGACATCTACAAGACGAAGTCGAAGTACCATAGTTCAAACGTCTCTTTCTTCTTGAAATAAAACTTTCCAAGCGGGTTGTTTAACACATTGTAATCGCCTTGGGCATTTCATCTGTCTTGATTGATAAGGGAATTCTATCAGCTTAGGGTTAATAACCGATAAACACGTTCAGAACTTTTAAGTACATAATCTTTCGAGAATTGGTCGTAAATCATCTTAGAAAAAACGTAGGCGCTTCTGTTTAGCGATATTGCATTTACAAAGCTTTTCCCGATATAACTACCGTCACAAGCGGTACCATCAAAAGTAGACGTATTGCAGTGTCGGCATGTTCTAAAGATGTCAATGTCAAGCGTATGATGTATTGAAGTCTCTCAAGCTGTCAACCAATATCGAATAATTCTCGGATTTGAAACAAATCTTGAAACACTGTTTTCGGTGAATTTATTACGTTATTTTTCTACATTCGAAAAAYCTTCGAAATTTCTGGATTCGAAATCACAATATTTTTAATAGTAAAATTTATCAAATAAAAATAACGACGGACCTTAGTAAACTAAAATCCTTTGAATAATAAAATGAAATCATTGAAAAAAATTTCTCAAGTAAATTATTTCGATATTCATAAGTTTAAAGCTCATAATAAGTTTGAAATGCAAGATTCTGAGAGATGAGAAACTGGTTCGTTTACAACCAAAAACATATTCTTGTCTCAAAGGAAAATTTCTCAGTTCAGTTATTACAAATTAGCAAGTACTGTTTGATAAAATAAATCCAATTTAAGGTATTTGTTATCTCAGCTAAATAAACCAACAAAATTTACATCAAATTATTTATTTATAAACAAAAAATTAAAATCAATATCAATACCCTGAGTACCCTGCGAGCAGAGTCTCCTTTTAACTCCTCTACGCCCGTAGAGGAGTTAAAAGGAGACTCTGCTCGCAGGGTATACCCTGAGACAACCTCCGGGCTGATCTGAGCAAGGGCATGGCTAACTCAGATCAAACCCTGTAATAAACTCTAGGCTGATGTAAGTCAGAGCACCGCTTACTCAGATTAAATCCTGAAACAACCTCTTGGCTGATCTAAGTCAGGGCACGGCTAACTCATAGTTCAAACCCTGAATCAGCCTCTGGGCTGATAGTCAGGACATGGGTAACTCACAAATCATACCCTGAAACAACCTCTGGGCTGATGTAAGTCAAGGCATGGCTAACTGACAGATAGAACCCTGAATCAACTTCTGGGCTGATCTAAGTCAGGGCACGGCTAACTTACAGATAGAACCCTGAATCAACCTCTGGGCTGATCTAAGTCAGGGCACGGCTAACTCACAGATAGAACCCTGAAACAACTTCTGGATGAAATGTGTTTTTTGTCACTCAGTAAAGATCTAATGTTAAGTGTATGCTACATCGAGCGTATAAGCAGATTAAAAAATTTGCCTCAGAAATCTACTTCTAGATGTATCTAGTCAGCGCACAGATAGCTCACAAATCGAATGTCAATTCACCATGTTAGCGTGAGCTTTCGTTTCTCCTGCTGACCAGAAACAATTTTTACAGCCAGCACATGTTATCACGTGTCGTCTTGTAATTGTCAATGTCTAGTAATAATTTCGTTTATCCATTATCGTCAGCTTATAATATCAATTTTGAAGCATTTCAGATGTTTTTATAACATCTGTTACTTTGAAGGTTTCGATTATCCGTGTTTGGTCATAGACACCTGTGTTATAAGGATACGCACCAAACTGACTCCTTATCATACACACACTTCAATCATATACACACTTCCATCATAGCGGAGCTTACTCAAGAAAAATTGGTAACCCCTTGAGTTGATTACGTGACTACGTCACTTTCGTCCGTACGTACAGCCATGTACACACCACAGGGTTCCCGCTTGATTTCCAAGCAAAACTACTCGCATAGCAAATGCACAGAAAACCGCTTTGAGACAAATTTAAGCCCAATAACATAAAAAGAAACATTATTTATGTAGTCAAAGAAGGATGTGGAAGTATTCTTCAAGAATTCAGGTGTTTGTTTTTAGCGAAACAACCGTATATTTTTTCTGTGAAAAGCGACAAATCGATCGACAAATAAAAGTCTTTATTTTTTTCTGGTAAGGTATCCGTAAAAAATGGTGCGTTCTGATTGGCTGTTTAAGCGGGCGGTATTTTGTCAGTATCTACCCGCGGTCGCGTTCCGGTATCCTTTGCCACTAAACAACAAAACAAAACGAGTACAAAAACAAGTAAAAAAAAATACGGGGAAAAAATTTATTTACCGTCCTATAGTCGGTCCGGATAGGGAAAAACTGTGCCCTCGGTCTTGAAAACGGAACTCGGCCTAACGGTATCGGTCCGTACATTCAAGACCTCGGGCACAGTCTTTCCTTAGCCGGACCTTTGACCAGTATAAAATATTTCTGTCAAAAGACTTTGGTTCAATCAGATGAGCGAGATTGCTCAACTCTTCCTGGTACTTCATAACTTCTAAACTTTTATTCAAGAAATGTTTAATACTACATTTTAATCTCTTTTTAGCCTTGTCTATCAATGACATGGTGTTACATTTGAAGCTCGATGCGCCTCCTCTGACGGCGTCTGTCCGCTGACCTGTGAAAAGAATATTCATTGTTTTCCGTACGTAGGTTATAACATTGATTAAGATTTATTGTCATTGCAGTGCATTGTGGGACTGTTTTAGAGGACGAAATAGACGCCATCTTGGAAATATGTCACCCAAATAATCTAACGATGCACTGCAATATCAACTACACCCAGCCTTTTCCTTAAACTCGGGATGCTAATAGACTGGTGTCTCTCCATTATACTATATTTATAACGAGGGAGGGGAGGGATAGTAAGTGGTAATGAGGTAATTTAAACCAAGAATACTTCAAATATTACCTGGTAGTGAGCCGCACTTTGCCCTCTGACCCACACAAGGAACCCATACTACCTATGACTGATCCACACAAGGAACCCATACTACCTATGACTGACCGACACAAGGAACCCATACTACCTATGACTGACCGACACAAGGATTTCATACTACCTATGACTGACCGACACAAGGAACCCATATTACATATTTTCTACCTATGGATCAGCTAAGCTAGTTAGTCATGGGAATCTGTTTTAATTTTTTTTCTGTTTCTTTTTAGGGAATTGAGCTTCAATCATATATTTGTGGTTGAAGAAGAGTCTTTTGTAAACTTACCAACGTTAAAGACATTGTAAGTAAATTGAAGCGCGAACTGTGATATYAACAAGCTGGTAGTTGTARAGCACCAAAGAGAACCAARCTACTGCTTCYAKACTGTTCATGTCACAGACACAGGTGCCGATCTAAATTTTTATATTTTACTGTCATAAAACATTAGTTTTAAACGCGAGCGTCATATTTTTCTTTCCTGTGAAAAAGGTATGACGTCTGCCAATCAGCGCGCGTTATATCTATTATATTTTATCAAACGCAAATTATCGTCCCTCTTAAAATCGGACAAGTGCTGTAGATACCAAGATGTTAACGAAGTGCTTGCTTGAAATTTTGAGGCCACGTATCTTAACGTTTGGAAGACAGGGCTTTTTCTGAAGAAAAAAATTACATTTTACTTTCAGACGATTTAATGGGAATTTCATTAAAGACGTTTTGAAAAACATGTTTAGTGGTCTGGAGAAACTTGAAGCAATGTAAGTATAAAACAATGTAGTCCTTAATAATGGACGAGGGACCTTCTAACTATAAAGTACATTTAATTTCCAATATCAATTCGGATGCTTTTTCTGGTTTTCCAGGTCTTCGTGCACTGTAAGTATTTTATATTAAAGTTATACAATAAACCAATCGTTTGCGTTGTTAAGGCTGACCTTTAAGGTACTGACACACGGTGCAACATTGCACGCAACATTGCAAACAACAAATTTGAATCGGGGTGACACACATTGCAACAAAATCACGCAACATCGCTTGTGTCAGCCTGCTATGTTAAGATATTTGGTCAGCAGGTATAAATTTGGTGCAAGCTGATTGGCTGGAAATTTCAAAATGTTGCAGGTAATGTTGCAGCCATTTTCACATGATGAAATTTGTTGCGCGCAATGTTGCAAGAGTAGAGCGCGATTCAACTTCAGATTTGTTACATGCAACGTTGCGTGCAACAGGTTTGGGGTAGACACACGCTGCAACAGTCCTGTTGCGTGCAATGCTGCATGCAATGTTGCACCGTGTGTCAGCACATTTAGTATTGTCGTATTTTATGCTTTGTTAGAAGAATAAATGAAGAAGGGTGGAAGGTGTTCTATAGCTACCTTTGGTAATGTGGCTGTCATAACATGGTGGATATTCCTTTCAAGAAAACGACCAAGAACACAAGGTGTAAAGATAAACAGTGTCCAGTCCTTGCTATTTTGCCATCTCGCGCTTGTTGATCTTCTCATGGGAGTATATATATCTTCTGCTCATTGGAACTTACAATGAAATATGGAAGGGAGAATTATTTCTGCATGACGTGGAGTTGAGAGCTGGCATCAAGTGTAAAATAGCAGGCGCCATTTCCACTTTGTAAAGCGAAGTTTCAGTCATGATGAAAGGAGTAGAAGGAAGAGCCTGGAGAAAAGGTATTGATGAAGGGAGAGAGCCAACAAACTCTACTCACATGTGATGTGGAGTCAAGGAATCGCACCCTAGAACCAAGAGATGAATGACAAATAGACAAAATCGGGTTGGAAAGGTAATGCAGAGGAGAGAATTTAACAAAAAAAAAATTAATTCACTGATTAGCTAAAGAAGCCTAGTATATAAGGCTAATCTGACGTTAAAGGAAATAAATAATACTCAAGGGCATGGCATGTGGTAAATAAAGAAACATTAACGAACTATCATTCTATTTACACACTCTCAGCTATGCAGATAAGTATTACGCAGATACAGTTAAGTCACACCGGCTCCGACGAAGGACTAGCGTCCGAAACGTCAGTAAGTTTTTTCATCTTTTCACGGTGTAAAATTTACCCTTTTATCATTACTGTTTCATTAGAAACACCGACGCAGCTCACACTAGTTTTTAGCTAGTTATCTCTTCTTATTACTAGATTATAAATAAGAAATCATGAAAGGAGGAAATTTCCTTTCAATAAACGATTAATATTAATCATATACGATTAATTAACAAATAATACATATTTTAGAACGATTTTTTAGAGAAACAATTTCTACATTCCCTAATACTGTGAACAAATGGTGCAACGTTTCCTTCTCTGTGCACGGTCAACGTCATATAACAATGGATAAAGTCAAACAAAAACATAGAACATAGAAGCATCTCTCACTGCTACGCCACTCGTGCTCCCCACAACATTAATATATTAATGTAACGGCAAGAACACTGGAAACTTTCTCTCAACAGACCAGGCTAAAGCAAGAGTGAATAATGAAGACCAGGGGTTACTGAGGTGAGGTGCTGTAGATACCAGGGGTTACTGAGATCAGTTGCTGTAGATACCAGGGGTTACTGAGGTGAGGTGCTGTAGATACCAGGGGTTACTGAGGTGAGGTGCTGTAGATA